CACGCCAATCAGACTACCATGCATGTGTTTGGACTGGGGAGGAAACCGGAGTACCCGGAGGAAACCCCTGCAGCACGGGGAGAACATGCAAACTCCGCACACACATGGCGAACATGCTAAACACTAAGCCACCGTGCGCCCAGGGACAAATTCATACAGTTAATATGTATTTACATTTTCTGTACTGATTTCTGTAAATCTATGCTCTAGCCTGATATTTTCTCCAATTCTTGTTTCTGGATATTTTCCATAGCTGACCATTGTATTCTTGAAACTGCTCACGTAGCAATCGTTCATTTTTCCCAGCTAGCGCATCAACATGCTAGCGAGCTCTTACGTATTTCTTTGAGAAGGTCCGCTACAGACAGCAGCGTCTTTTCAGTCAGCTTCAAGCCGTGTTTGCAGAAAGATGTGGGAGTCTAGCAAATATCATGGAAAATGCCTGGAGGTAATCATATGCTTCTTGAACATTCTAGCCCTGACCTCTTCACATTACAGACAGCGGTCTATATGCAAATGTGACCCAATTAGTCCACCCAGATCTGCAGCTGTGGAGTCCTCGTCACTGGAAGTCAGCTGTGCACAAAACTGACTTCACCTCAGCCTACGCTTCTAGTCTCACTCTTCAGAAGAAAGGGAGAAAGGGATTAACCCAGAGCACATGTCCACAGACACTGCAATCTTTAAATCTGTCGCTTTATCCAGATTTCTCTACCGATCGAGGTGGAGGGTCAGGCTTGCTTATCACATTGTCCTGCTCATTCCATACTTCCTGATTTGATCTCGGTGTTTGAATTCCATTCTGTCTGTTTGGAAACCTGCCTAAACCCATATCATTTTTCCCGGGTCTGCTTGGCAACTTCTTCAAGGAACGCTGCCCTTTCCATTTCAAGAGAAATGACCACCCTGATGCATCTTGCAAATCTTGCATGGCTCAACGGTCTAGGGACGATTAGGTGTGATTTCATACACTTTCCACCTAAATGGTAAATGGGGCAATTATATAGCGCTTTTATCCAAAGCACTTTACACTGTGTCTCATTCACCCATTCACACTCACACACCAATGGTAGCAGAGCTGCTATGCAAGGCGCTAACTTGCCATCAGGAGCAACTTGGGGTTCAGTGTCTTGCCCAAGGAGACTTCGGCATGTGGAGTCATCCGGGCCGGGAATCAAACCACCGACCCTACGATTAGTGGACAACCCACTCTACCACCTGCCACCACATATTATTGAAAATGTAGAGCGTTCTATTCCAGTGTTCTTTTTATTCTATGTCGTTCCTGAGAACTTTAGGAAGCTCCTTGAAGGTCCTCACCAAGATTGCGAGTTGTTCTGTAAAATCTTCCCAACCAATGGCACCAAGTGCAATCTCTATGAGAACATCTGGAAACCTTTTTCCTTACCAATTTCGTTGTTTCTAGCATATGTTTGTTATGAATACATCCTTTTTGAAGGAAAAACGTGAAAAATTTGTCCCACGTGAGTTAAAAGTAACAGAACATGAGTGTCAACAACGGTATGAGTTCCCAGAAAACTTCACATGACCCATGTGTGTACATTGTTTCCATCCTTACAAATCACTGATGTTGTTTAAAAGCAATGCAGATTAGATATAGACTAGAGATAAGGAAGGGGGTGTAGAGTTCATATATTCTTTATGAACTATGGTGGGAAAAGCAAACACAATGTTCTGCGTTCAGGGTAAACACAGGCGGAGGAAGCGTCAGCTGTGTTTAATATGTTACGTAAGAGCGTGTTGGTCCTGGCCAAATCATCACACTACATTTACAGTTCCTCAAATCTTTCAGAACCATAAATACATACAGACGCTGACTGACTTGACTGACGTAATTCACTGAATTAGCTTTCTGGCTGCTTTATATGCAAAATTCCAGTATTTCTGACACAGATCTGATTTCATCTGCTTAAATATTTGAGGACCAACACTTATCCAATTTCTGTGTTTATATCACTACCTGGCCAAAATCGCAACTTTTCATGAGTAGCATTACTGTGGTTGTAGACAGGAAGTGATTCTGTTGTTTCCACTACGATTTTATTTTGCCTCTAATTTTACATTGGATGACGTTTTTTGAGGATTTGAGGGTTTTGGAGGGTTTTATGGCTTTGGAGGATTTTACAGTTTTTGGCGGATTTCGGGGTTTGGGGGATTTTAGGGTTTTGAGGATTTCAGGGTTTTTGAGGATTTTAGGGGTTTTATGGTTTTGGAGGATTTTAGGGTTTCTGAAGATTTCAGGGGTTTGAGGGTTTTGGAGGATTTTAGGGTTTTGGAGGATTTTAGGGTTTGGGGAGATTTTAGGGTTTTGGAGGATTTTAGGGTTTTGGAGGATTTCCGGGGTTTGGAATATTTTAGGGTTTTGGAGGATTTCAGGGTTTGGGGAGATTTTAGGGTTTTGGAGGCTTTCAGGTTTTTGGAGGATTTTAGGGTTTGGGGAGATTTTAGGGTTTTGGAGGATTTTAGGGTTTTGGAGGATTTTAGGGTTTTGGGAGGATTTTAGGGTTTGGGGAGATTTTAGGGTTTTGGGGGAGATTTTAGGGTTTTGGAGGATTTTTAGGGTTTTGGAGGATTTTAGGGTTTGGGAGATTTTAGGGTTTTGGAGGATTTTAGGGTTTTGGAGGATTTTAGGGTTTGGGGAGATTTTAGGGTTTTGGAGGATTTTAGGGTTTTGGAGGATTTTAGGGTTTGGGGAGATTTTAGGGTTTTGGAGGATTTTAGGGTTTGGGGAGATTTTAGGGTTTTGGAGGATTTTAGGGTTTTGGAGGATTTTAGGGTTTGGGGAGATTTTAGGGTTTTGGAGGATTTTAGGTTTTGGAGGATTTAGGGTTTTGGAGGATTTTAGGTTTGGGAGATTTTAGGGTTTTGGAGATTTAGGGTTTGGGGAGATTTTAGGGTTTTTGGAGGATTTTAGGGTTTGGAGGATTTCGGGGGTTTGGAATATTTTCAGGGTTTGGGGGGTTTTATGGTTTTGTAGGATTTCAGTGTTTTGGAGGATTTTAGGGTTTGAGTGTTTTGGGGTTTTCACATTCATCTGGACTTCACTGTTTAGCCTCGATGATTCATGTGTATGTTCTGAACACCAAATTTTGGCCAATGACACTAGCTTCACACCAACCAAAAAAAAAAAAAGAAAGAAAGAAAGAAAGAAAGAAAGAAAGAAAGAAAGAAAGAAAGAAAAAAAAGTAAATACCGCCTCTCTGAAGAAAAGCCAATATAAACCCAGATATGCCACTCCAGCTTTAACTGGGTGTTTCTTTGCAATCCATGTTTGTCCCTGAGCACCGTGCAGCCTACGCTCTCCTTCCCACCAATAAGATGTTATCCGAACACTTCCTACAGGTCTGTGAAAACTATTTTGACTGGCAGGCAACAAGCTTTTCGGCTGCGCGCCAGCAAAAACAACTCTGCTTTGACTGGCAAAGAAAATAAGTGCAAGCTGAGATGTATGATTTAAATCAAGCGGAGAACAGAGGAAATTCATTTCGGAGTGAAACGAAGAAAAGAACCGAATCTGGAGGAAGGCAATTATTCCAGCCAATGAGCCAGTATAAATACGCTGGAGCTGTCGCATTCTAATGTGAAATAATTCATGACCTTCATATATAATCATTTTTCATTCTCAGCTTTCAGCTAGAAGAAGTGGAATAAGGAGTTTGAGGTTAAGGAAGTCTGCACCTACACTCATGTGCCATCTAATAACTAAAGGCCATCGAACAGTGATGGATGTTCCAGAAAAATTGGCCAGCAGAATGGTTTAGATATTTACACATCGAGGAGTAGAACTGAATATCCGTGGGGGGTTTTTTCTGTTTGTTTGTTTTTGTTGTTTATTTGATTTCTTTTTTTATCCCCCAGAAAGCTTGCTGGGAAGGTTCACAGGGCATCTGGTTGAGACTAGGACTGGGATCCCAAGAGATACAACAAGAAAAAGCAAATGGAAGAGACATGAAACTCCGATAAGACGCTCACAGGACATGCAAACATATTTTTCATCCCGACTAACTGCCTGGTTTGCATAAAGCTACTAGTTTGTTTATATTTCTGGAAACAGAACTAAGTTTGTTAAAACATATTGGGTAATTATTGGGTAATGTTTAAATTATGAACTGGAGTGACGTAGCTGAGGTTGAGGAACTGTCAGACACACCGACATTGCTGATGTTTCTACATCTGGTGGGGAGGTTGTTGTTTTCTTCCAGTCTTAACTAAACTTTCAGCCTGCAACATTTCCTCAGAGACCTCTGTGAATATGGGCGGCACCCGTATATGACATCACACGCCAAGGCGTTGTATTTCTTTCATCCATCTTTCATCTTTTTATCCACACATCATGGATTCTGACGTGCGTGCGACACCCAGATCCAGACAGCTTCTCTTTTTTTCCCCCCTCCTCTATGTTGATTTTCTATTCTCTTAAAGTTGTGTTGTAGAAAACGGGATAGTGCGACACCGCTATAATCAGTGCTTCCTCCATCTTGGATTTGGTGAAGCGGTCACGCCGTGACGTATCGATCTTCTATCGGTCACACGTCATCACGCAGGTCAGACTTGGAAATCCAATATGTAACGCAAATGTAAAGGTAAGGGTATGTCATTTTTAAAATGAAACCAGGTTTGATGTCCGCGTTTAAAAACTAAATTAAGTTAAAGATCACTGCTGAGGTTTAAGAAACTATAGAGAGCCTATAAAATGGAGGAAAATAAAACATTTTTTTAAAACTGCATGAGAAGATGCATCCATCCATCCATACCACTTACTCCTTTTCAGGGTCACGGGGAACCTGGAGCCTATCCCAGGGAGCAGCGGGAACAAGGACAGGGTGCCAGTCCATCACAGAGCACAATCACATACACACTCATACACTACGGACACTTTAGACACGCCAATCAGTCTACCATGCATGTCTTTGGACTGGGGGAGGAAACCGGAGTACCCCCTCACAGCACGGAGAGAACATGCGAACTCCGCGCACACACGCCACGGTGGGAATCGAACCCTCGACCCTGGGAGGTTTGAAGCAAACGTGCTAACCACTAACCCACCGTGACCCGTCAATGAATGAAACTGAACGATTTGACACTCCGAATCTTGTATCTTTTATTTTCTAGACTGTGGCAGTCAGTATCTGACATTCATCCAGCTTCGGTTTATGTAGCTCGACTCAACATTAATTTGCCTAAAGATCGGAATAACTGCAGTTTGAATTAGTAGTTTTTGCTTTCCGCTATCCTGAAAGCCGCTACACTACGTACACTACACTTCAGATCTTGGTAAAAGTCAATGCGCACCTCATTTTCTTGCTGCGGTTTTGGTTTATTAGGCTCTCTCTCCTCCAGAAACTCCTCATTAACATGAATGATGAGCTCACTTAGCTTAGTGTGACTCAGAAACAGCCGACACCGACCAATCAAGACGGAAAACGGCTCAGTGGCGTGCACGAGGTACGGCTAATTAGGGCCGAGAATGAAACTAATGCAGACTGGGGTCTGGCAAAGCTACACAAACAGACGCTAAGAGGTTTGGATGGAATGCTGTAAACGTTGGTTCTTCTCGAGTCTCGAGCAGCAGGACGGAAATGCCCCGAGCATGAAGAGGCCGATTCTCACAGAGGCGCCCCTCTCGACCGGCATGCTTTTCTGAGAGGTCGTGATGGATGGGGCTGCAGATTAGCGTAACGTCGAGAGGAACCCCAGCCGTACGCTCGACGCCTAATCAGGAGTCGCTAATGACACGTTCGTTCCAGCTACAGGATCGCTTTTCATTCTGGCCTCCATTCTTTAACGCATGATTATGATTGCAGTCATTACGACCGGGCCTAATATGCACCTTAATATCCATTTCCCCCCACCTGAGGCAGTGTGTTTCTGCCAGTGGGGGGAATGTTTCGAGTCTCAAAGTCAACTGATTGGACCCTCCAGGTCATTTCCAGCGTTGTTTCCAGTCCTTCGTGACGTGAAAGGACTGATTCTGATCTAAAACGGCGTGTCAACAATGCTGTAAATGAACCTGATCGGGAAAGATTTGCGTTTTCATTCCAGGAACCAAGTCACAAAGCTAACTCAAGGCAAAAAATCACGTCAAGTCGTTCCGGATTAGAGAGGCTGCTCAGGGAGCAACTGTTTCCAGGAGCTCACGTGTGCGACGTTCCAGAACATTAAGGTCTAGGTGAAGAAGAAAAGGACGAAATGGTTTGCTCGTTCTAAGAAAACGTTGAAAATCGCTGTGGTGTAAAGGCAATAAAACACCCCATATACGGTATTCATGTATGGTACAGTAACAGCGTCTATTCCTTGCTTCAATTTCAATCAATCCAGCCGCATCCAGGAGAATGAGATCCAAAAGTATATATACAGCCGGTAATTTATTTATTGCTCACGTGTGCTTTTATATAATGATATTATTCTGACGAGGATGACCTGAAGTCAGTCTCTCGTACTGTACACTAGCAGAGCAACCACATCAAAAAGACATACAGACAATGCCTCAAGTAATAATAGAGACACGATTTTAGAGGCTGGGAATGTGTGTGTGTGTGTGTGTGTTTTATATCCTGGACCAACAGGTTTGTTTCTTACGCAGTTCCTTATGCAAACTGAAACCTGTTAAATCAGCGAGTATTAACGGCCGGGTTGACGAGACGCACGACGCTTATTCCTCCCGATTACATAAAACGCCTTCCAGCTTGACAGCTTGAGGTCAGGAGGTGTTGCGCAACCCGTGAGGTGTTATATCACGGACGTGTAAACACGTCTTTACTTGCGCACGTTACAGTTTGGGTACAGCAAAGACATCAGCACGTCAGTCAGCTCACGTTCCGGTTCACCGCTCGCACTCCGAGCCTCGTGCGTCAGTCATTAACAATAACCGAGTATGCATGAAGGATCACGTCATCTTTTTTCACCCCGCTTCGCTTAATTCCTACGCACCTCTCAGCAAAGCCTTAAGCGAGCCGAGGAGTTGAAGAATTTCCCAAGAGCCATGAAGTGCTCGTGATGATGGAGCGGCGGTAGGCGAGCGTGTGAGGAATACAACGCTTGGGGTCGTGCCGTTGTGAGAAAAGTCATTAACGGTGGAGTGATGTGGAAATGGCGTTATAATTACTATACAGATGTTGATTAAGATGTTGTTTCGCTCCTCGGCGATTTGAAAATTATGATACACACCCCCCTCGTTAAAGAATGACACGATGTACTTTTGATCCATTTAGTTCGGTTTAAATGTTGTGGAATGACCATGAAACGAGTTACCCGTTCGATCTTTTTCTCTCTGAAGGTTCACAAGGGCGGCCGGAAAGACGAAAAAAAAAAAGCTGAAAACGTGAAGGCTTTCCCGTAGCGCTGACACTGGAGACTCCTTCCATGGAGGTTAAATAACGGTCTCCGAAGAGAAAAATTCAGTACGTTAATGATTATAGGTTTTCACTCTTTAAATAACAGCGCGTCATACACGTCGACTTGTATGAGCTGTTGCTACGGAAACCATAACGTATCACGACGAGCGGCTTAGCAGACCGGCCAAACCTGAAGAGGAATTAGGAATCGTCTCAGGAATGGGGGAGGGAGTGAAAATACAGTAAACATGGAGAAGAAAAAAAACAAAACAATCACAGACATTTGTCTGTGTCTACATGGCCAACATTTTCACGGTTATTGAATCCTTCCTTTTTTTGGGGGGGGTGGGGGGGCACCTCGTTACAGCGGCACTTGTAAATGGCTGGGGTGTATTTACTTATTAGGCAGCAAGTGACATCAGTTCTCAAAGTTGATGTGTTGGATCTGAGAAACTTTGACAAGGGCCACATTGTGATGTCTAGACGATTGGGTCAGAACGTCTCCGAAACAGCAGGTCTTGTGGGGTGTTCCCGGTATACAGTGGTAAAAAGTGGTCCAAGGAAGGACAACCGGTGACCCTGTGACAAGGTCGTGAGCGCCCAAGGTTGAATTACTGAAAAAGTTCATGCTGGCTCTGATAGAAAGGAATCAGAACACACAGTGCATCACAGAATGTTGAGTATGGAGCTGTGTAGCTGCAGACGGGTCAGAGCGCCCATGCTGACCCCCTGTCCACCACCGAAAGCTCCTACAACGGGCATGTGAGCATCAGAACTGGACCGTGGAGCACTGGAAGGCAGCGTAGACTGCTGTGCGTGTGCGGTGCTTACCTGGGGAAGAAATGGCACCAAGATGAACTATGTGAAGAAGGCGAGCCAGTGGAGGAAGTGTGATGCTCTGGGCAATGTTCTACTGGCAAACCTCGGGTTCTGGCATTCACGTGGATGTTACTTTGACACGTACCACCTACATAAACATTGTCACGGACTAAGTTCACTCCTTCATGGTAACGCTATTCCCTAATTGGTCTCTTTCACCAGAATAATGCGCCCTGACACACTCCAACAATAGTTCAGGAACGGTTTGAGGAACATGAAGAGTTCGAGGTGTTGACTCGACCTCCAGATTCCCCAGATCTCAATCCGATCGAGAATCCGTGGGACGTGCTGGACAAATACGTCCGATCCACGGAGGCCCCACCTCCATCGCAACTTTCAGGACTTAAAAAGCTCTGCTGCTAACGTCTTGGTGTAGATTTATTAAATAATCTTTAACACACACAACAACAACAAAAAAAAGATTTTGGTGATTTTTTTCCCCCCAGAAAGAGAATTTATTTTCAGTGAAATGTTGGTTCCAAAATTATTGCCACGCTTACAATTAATATTGAGACTCCTTCCCTGGAGAGAATAACAGCTACAAGTCTCTTCCTGTATTTGCCTTATTAATAAAAAATAAAAAAAATTCAAATTTTTTTTAAAGACATTTTCATTTTCAATAAACTGTATAGACTTGTCTAATGAGGGCTATTTAACTTGATATGGCTATGAAGATTGTAAAGCACTTAAAGTACCTTACAAAGCGACTGCTATGCTATAAACCACGTGCATTATAAGACATAATAACAGGCTTTGAGACACATCAACATTCTGTACTGAGAATGCCCCCGGGGAGTTTTGGTATAATTTGCATGCTTATAGTGAAGACACCGAGTATACTGTTTACATCCCACGCATGATCTGAACATAAACACACACACACACCATCTTTCATCACCTCTGTGGTTCTACTTTATCTGAAAGCCAAGTTGATATAAAAATACAAATTGAATACATGTTTTCACCTCTGCGCTGAGAACATCGTTGTAATGGACGTCACTGACCACAGAGGGCAGCAAAGGCACGTTAATCTGAGGTACAGCGTTACAGGGACATCTAGTGGACAAGGCACTTCAATGACACTTAACCTCAGCCAAAAGGCACGAAACGGAGAAGAAATGCAGTTCCAGCATGAATACAGTCACACTGCGTTAAAAAAAAGCTTTAAATAATAAAAAATAATAATAATAATAATAAAAAATTTTTTTAAAAAGAGTCATAATGGAAATTCACTACGAAGCAGCTTACATCACTACATCCTGTCCAATAAACAGTATAAATAAATACTGAAATCCGACTCCGAGGAGGCATCTGAGGAGGTTTTCCTTCCCCTTCACTCCTCTACATTCATCCGGATGTGTTCAACACACCTCACGAGGTCACATGAACTCATATCGTCGGCTCGATATTCTTCAAAAGGCTGGATGTGTCCTTCATCCTATAAAGCAAAAAGATCCATAGATGGATACAAGAGACACGTATAACACAATGTCAACATTTCTTTAAAAAAATTAAAAAATCTGTTTAGAGGATGGCAAATTTATACACCGTGTAACCGAATAAGTATTCACCCCCCCCTAAAATTTTCCACACGATTAAAATAAATAAATAAACAAACAAACAAACAAACCATCCCTACAGTGAAGCATGGTGGTGGTGGTAGTATCACATTGAACATTACCCTTGGCCCATGCATCACTGCTCAGACTATTCCCCTCTTTACCCGGTCACTGACTTTGGTACTCAGCCTTCTCTAAGCAGAGTCACAGTTGTTTCATATCCTTTCCGACTTTAAATAATGGGTTTAATGTCACTCTGATGAAATGTTCAAAGTCGAGG